TCCGGTCACTGATGCTATGAGACCGTGGTTGTAGCTTTCTAAGCGGTCGCTATTATTGAAATGGAAATAATATTTCACATCCGATGTTACAGGCCGCGCACCAACATGGATGTCGTCTATACACTCCTGATACAGCAACTTGACAGAGGCCATTTCTTTCCAGAAAATTGAGAGCACGGCACGCCTCATGGAAGATCTGCCCCACGCTCTCGCACTGAATATTTTCTGACAGGATCAAGAACTGGATAAGCGGGCCTGCGCTTATTTTTTGAAAATATTGAAATGGTGTACAAACAAAAAGGTGCCGAATTATCTGCAGGACGATTTGCATCTTACATCACTACTATCTTAGGCCCAGAAGTGATAATGACTTCCGATGGCTCTATTTTCGTTCTGTCCGCTGGGCCGTTACCTCTCGGTATTTGTTCATAGGTTCCTAGACATATGAAAAGTAGTATTCCTGAGTGCCATAATTTTTGGATCCTTTTCGACGAAGTTATGAGGTCCCCGAGGATCAGACCTAGAAGTGATAACGCTTTTTGGCGGTGTTTTGATCGCATCAAAAATACAGGTTTTCATTTTTTTCTGTCCGCCCAGTGGGCTCCAAGACTGAAAGAAGTTTACAAGACCTTTGAGAATACATCCTTGCATGTCATTCTTTTTTCTCAGAGCATAGGAGTAAGAATTACGGTGAGCATCAGTGAATTATCACTTCTAGTCACATTATCACATCTGGGCCTATTATAGTAATGACAGGCGGCAATGGGAAAGTTTGGTTTGGAAAAAAACAGAGCACAATACGGACAAAGTGATCACTCGTGGCCGCGCTTTCCTCTCACCATCGGTTTGCTTTTGCCTTCCTCACCGCAGCGCAGTTCATCGCGTGCCTTTCCGAGAGTAAAACAGTGAGCAAGCCCCGTTCCCCTCAATCCATCCCACTGACGTCCCAGGGCTTTGTGCCGCTAGCCCCTGTGGTGACACGAAAGCCTCAATGGCCGATTCCAGCACTGGCAGCACCAGATATTTGCCCTCAGAAATTCGCACCAACATATCTGCACTTGACGCCCGCATTTTGGCCCTCGAAAGCTCTCTTGCCGCTGCGCGCTGCGAGCGAGCAAACTTACAATCACAGCTCGACGACTACAAATACCCCGTCCTCACCCTCCCCATCGAAGTCACGGCGGAAATATTTGTTAATTTCCTTCCCATCTATCCTTCGCCTCCTCCGCTCACTGGGCTGCTGTCACCTGCACTCTTGGGACGCATTTGCCGGCAATGGCGGGACGTGGCGCTTAGTACTCCTCAACTGTGGAGAGCCGTCGTGATCCATATACCCCGCAACGCGGAACGTTCCATCTCTGAACACCTGAATACTCTCAACACCTGGCTAATTCGGTCTAGGAACTGCCCGTTATCTATTTCCTTGGCGGTTGATGAAGTCGCCGATTGCCCTAATCCTTGGACGGACGCAATTATGATTCACGCCGCACGGTGGGAACACATGAACCTTTTCGCTGCCTTCGACGATCTGTGCTGGATTCATGGCCCTTTACCCCTGCTCTGCGCTCTGACTTTAGGCCCCAGCGAGCTGGCGGGACTTGCTCCGACCGCTTTTCTTGACGTTCCTGCGTTGACAACAGTCCCACTTTTCCGTGCACAATCTCCCATCCCGCCTGCAGTTGCCGTGGTCACAGCTAACCACCATCTCCGTGGAGTACTGTGATCTGTCGGAGGTAGCGCATATTCTGCGGCATGCCGTTTCCCTTGTGAAATTCAGCGGCGCTCTGAGCCGTGCTGCCGCCATACAGGACATCCCCCCACTCCTTCATCTTCAGTCGTTCATTCTACTTGAGGATGTATTTGCTGCGCCGGACACCCATAAGCTGTTACTCGATGCAATCACCACACCGGCCCTCCAGCACCTCACAGTTTCGGAGGGCGAGCTCAAACATCATTTCTCTTCAACTATCGCCTTCCTTATCAGTAGATCGCACTGTCGCCTTGACTCCCTTCACGTCACCCACTCCGGGCGTTACAAGACGGACCTTCATGCAGCTTTCCCCTCGATTAGAGTCATCAAAGTTTTCAAGAAGGCCGAGCACGATTCAGATGACGATACTGGGGTAGAGGTTGAGGATGAGGATGCCACAACGGGAGAAAAGGATAACGATGACGAGTAGAGTAATGAAAACGACCTTTAATTCCTCTCCTTGAAGAATAATGGTGTGTCGCGCACCTAATCTTCCTTCTCCATCTAATTCATTTCCCTAATCAATAGCTCTTAGCTCTTCCCTGTGCGAGTGTACCCAGATTGTCTCTCTTCTTTCTGCTGTTGAAGCCGATCGTGGTTGTCCTTTCGTACATTCCTTGTTGCCCATCTTCCTTCTGTATATTATGTTATATTAGTTCGTGATACAGTCCTTCATCAATTCATCTGCCATCCACGGTTTATCGCTCGGTAACAGGTCTTAACTGTGTGCACGGCGCGCAGGAAGGGTGGTGAGATTGAAGTGTATTCTAAAGCGCGTTGGGATAATGGCGGAAAGGATTGAAGAATAACTAAACGGGATGCGAGGAGGAGAATGGATTGGGTTGCAGATGAGGCAAAACGGCATAAATATGTAGGTAACGAAGGAAAGGAAGAGTCAAGACTGGAAAGTACGGTACAGTGATCCACCAGTCAGTGAAACAGTGGAATTTTTAAAAATGATCCCACTGATATCTTGAAGTAGATTTCCATTTCAAAAATTCTGAAGAGGCTGAATGTATTGTATTTAGTCTACCTTGGTCGTCTCAAATTTTCATAGCAATTGAGCAGGAACTGAGCTCATACCACGTTGAATCGACTGTTTCATTGACCGGTTGATCAAATCACCTGCCAAATCAAGAATTGATCTCCCTCTATTTCTCCTCTCCGCGACCAGTTATCGATCCAGGTCTTCAGTTATGGAGTTATTATGTATAGTACTTCAATATGAACTATGTTTGAGTGCAGGATCCACTGAGACCCACCCACAAACTGGGTGTTTCATTGACCGGTGTGTTTCACTGACCGGTGGATCACTGTAATGCGAAAAAAATATCGCAAAAACAGGTGTATAGTAATTTCCGAAAGGAAGGCACTGTCCCATAACGCACCCTCCTCTGTGTAACCCTCATATCCCGCAACACCTCGCTTAGTCGCAAGTGACATTCCGTGATATCTCAAGGTGAATGCGGATATAGCCACGGGTGGCGGAGGTCACGAGCAGCTCCGGGATGGGCGCATATTATTAATAACAGGCGTGCCCGAATCGCGAGGAGCACCTATGATACCTCGGCAAAATCTAGCCCCGCACCTCTTGAATCGGATGCGCAGCGCAGGGCGAGGAGCAGGGACAGTGCAGTACCGGCCCATTGCAGGCCTATCCACAGCGTCGCTGCCGCGCGCGCGAAGCCACGCCGCTAGCACCCCTGGCGACACCCACCCCCGTCTCCACACCCATCGCTCCTCGGGCGGGTGCCGAGGCCGTGGGGCGACGTGGTGGCGGGGATGGAGATACGGGACGTCCGGGATGACGCGGCGCGGTGCTGCGGAAGTCGCATCCTGCGGGAAGTCAGCAGGCAGGCGAAAGAGTTCCTGTAAATGTCTTGCGTACGGCGAGGGAGGGCAAGTAAGGATTTCGATGCGCAGGACGTGGGTGGAGAGGGCCGATGAATGGAATTTGGCGAGTCGGGGGGCGGGCCAGAGGAACGGAGTGGGAGCGGTCGTGCGCGCCGCGCGAGCGTATGGCGTGCCAAGTCGGAGTACAGACGCACTGTTGGAGGAATCAGCGAGAAGTCGGCGCGTGGGGCTGGGTGCGGGAATCGGGCATCGCCCGCGGGGATCGCGAGAGCGATGGACGGGCGGGTGAAAAGGGAGGGCCGGGCGCGACGCATGGCGGGGGGTATGCAGTAGATGTGGGTGGATAACGCGACCCCTGTACGCGCAAAACGAGCCTGCACGATAAGACCGCGGTGCCCCCGGCATTCCGGGGAGGCGCGCGGCTGGAGGAGGGCCCTATATGGGCGCGCGCGCGGTGCGGAGGCGTGATGATGGGGCGCAGTGATCCCCCGCGCGCTAGGCAACACCGCGGGTGGGTGTTCGTGCCGATGCTGGAGAGTCTCACGCAAGAATCGCGCCAGGCACAGTACGTCCGCGTCTTCGGCACCCGCGGCGTCGAGAAGGCCTGTGCGGCGAGGTCGAGTGTCGATAGCGCGCCAATGGGCACCACTTTCATCACCGAAATCCCGGAGGAGGCGTCTTGCGTCTACGCTTGCATACTCGTAGAATAAAACAACGCGGATTGAATACGCGTCCTCGTCGTGGGTGCAGATGAAGATGCGGGCAGACGAAACAGGACTGACTCGTCGAAGAATGGCCGCGCAGCGAGAAGAGCGCGACGCTGCGGCGATCAGCGCGCTTCAGCGTCACTGGGTGGCAGGGTCAGGGTTCAGGGGCAGCCGATGAACATCGGGTTAGCGGCTTAATAGACTGCGTGCGACAAATTAGCGTGGACGCTGCGCGCAACTTGGCGCAACTCATGATTTTAAGAAAAGCTAGGACGATGATGGAATAAACGACTCACCCGTCTACTTCGTCTTGCGAGCACCGTGTACAAGACTAGGAAGAGAATGGTGCAGGTGAACGCCCTATCCTCCAGGAGGCCGTAGCGCGAGCACTGTCATGGTGGGCCGTATTCTGCAAAGGCGAGCCGCAGGGGTGGGCTGAATCCAGACAACATATCAAGAGCCCAGATATCTCAGCGCAGTGGGGGGGGCAGTGACGGTTTGCGGCAAAAATGATGTGGCAGTGCCGCATCGTCACGTGTTCATCGGCAGCCGGGCCGGCCGACCGCGTTCTGACCGTTGCGTAGAATATTCGCAAGAGGGCTACTGGGTACATAAAAAAACAATTCCAAAAGAAATGAATAAATGATATTAGGATTGCTAACACAAAAGCAAAAAATCCAAAAACACCATGCCCTCGGGAGGATTCGAACCTCCGTCTCTGACCAGCTCTGAGGAGCCATCGCAAGTGTGACGAGTGATTTACCATTTAATCAACGGGGGCTTTATACACTTTGAGTGAACCTTTATATGGCGTGGACCACGTCTGGATCTGCGGGAAGAAAATGTTCCAGTGCGGCATTCCCGCGAGGAGAGGTCGTGTGGATCTTCGGGACATTCAATGGAACGGGCCACGGATATTTTTAAAATTACAATTTGAGCACCTTGTGCACTTCAGTTTTTCAATGGAGAAAGATAAAAGATGCCCTTTTGATTCGGAGGCGCCGGAAGGCTAATTTAAGTTGTGGGCCCATCTAGATCTGCGAGAAACAAACTTGGATATGGAAAATTTCATATCTCAAAGATGTACACCAAGGTTGGTAGAGAAATTTCCCCAAAACAATCAGATTGTTCTGCTGCTTTAATACCGAAGCAAAACTTGACTTGATTTTGCAATACCCTCAGGAGGATTCGAACCGCCGTCTCCCACCAGACCATAATCCCACCATCTATAAGTGTCGAGGGTGATTTGCCATCTAATACAATCAACAAAGGCTGTATATCTTTCTTAATGAACCTTGATATGGCAGTATCATCTGGGGTAATAAAACCGTTCAAGCGGGGGGGAAGAATTCATTTGGCCTCCATTCGCGGTGCTCCCCAGATCTCTCCTAAAAGATTGACACAAGTTGGTGACTTCTCCCAGATTTAACTCCACTGGATAGCGCAATGCCTTCAGGAGTAGTAGGCGCACCTCCATCACCCGCTAGAACTATCCTCAATGACCTTGGAAACAAAAGCATTCAGGTTTTTAATTCCGCAAGAAGAATTCGTGTGGATCTCCCCTTCTGGCCATTGGAATGCGCCCGGATATTTTTAAACTTCAACAAATGTCGAGCACCTCGTATGGACTGTACCGCTTCCGTTAAGGAAGGAAAAAAATCCAAAAGGAAAAAAAGTGTCGATGATTGGCGGGCAATGCGCCCGGTAGGAGTCGAACCTCCGTCTACCAGAAGATTCACACAATTAAGTGAAGTCGGCGATTCCATTTCATCAACGGGGCGGGCTTCACACACTTTGAATGAACCTTGATATTGCTTCATCTGAAGCTGACCTGTAAATAAATAAATAAAAGTCATTCCGCGGCTGCCCTCGGGAGGGATCGAACCTCTCACACTATTAGAATATTCGTACTCGAGGGTGATTTGCCATTAATCAACGAGGGCTTTACACCTCTGCGCTGAACCTTGATATATGTATTGCTTCAACTAGATCTACGATAATAAAAACTGTTCAATTCATTCCTAGCCATGCTCGGGAAGAATTCTCTCTCCATCTTGCGGATCTACATATACCTCCGGACCCTGAAATGTCACATCAGAATTTTAGCGAATCAACACAAGTTCATCACTCCTCCCTAACTCACAACTTGTCTACCTCGCTGGAGATAATGCTGTAGGAAGGGGGAAAAAAACATTTCCACTTGTAAGTACCTCGAATCATCCGACTGGCGTGGAAATAGTACACTTTCGCCGGTCATCCTGCTGTATTTTATTTTGGTTCAAATTCTCGAGGTCGACACCGAGTACCGCGGAGATCTTATTTTATCATGTCCAATTTACCGTATCAATTTTGCTCCCAATAACGAGCAACTCACTACCAGCCATTGAGGTGGAGTGGATCGGCATCATCATCCTCGTCTTTCAGGGAATCCACGATCGTTGGACTAAAGATGTTTATGATTTCACCGAATGTCTCTGTTTGAAGTTCAGCTCACAAGAGCGTCTATATCTGGGATGGCCCACCGTTTTCGGCGAATACCGATAGTGCTTGAAGCACCACAAGTCGAACAAACCATGCTGTGTTGCTGAATTCAGACACGACGTCAGGGGCTGCCTCCACGACAGCATGCCGGAATGCCTCTGAAAAAACTTGTCAACTACCCTACCCAGTGAATGCTATTCTGAAGCACACCTTCTCGAGAAAGTTGGGATAATGTGACCAGTGCTACAGTTTTAGCCTCATTTTCAGGGTCGTCCTTCATGCAGGCAGTAATGTGGGGGGCAGCGCAAGTCACAATATCAGAAAAAGCGCCTAGTCAAAGATTAAAAGGGTTCCGGCAGCTAATACGAGCATTGCTGACCATTTTGGACGAGTTCAGCACATCCTTTGAGTTCCGCAACTCGTGTTTTCGGCTCATTTCGCTCATCCCGCTTCAAAGCATCGAAGAGAACCGGTAACATTTCATTTATTCTATTACGAAACACATCTGTAAACATATTATACTGCTGAAATCATCATAAGTAGAGAAAAACATACCTTGTTTGGCGAGATCAGACAACGTCTGCAGCGCTGCAATCCGAATATCTTCCTCAGAATGTGATGGGAGTTTCACAAGTATTGGCACCAGCGAGCTCAGGGAAGGAGATATTTCTTAGTTACGGATCAGTCAAAATCCCGCGTATTCGTTGATACATTCTCCAAACCTTTGAAGACGGGTATTCACACCACGGGAAAGCCCGGCGCATGTGGGTTTCACATGCTATCTGAACCTTGATATTTTCGTCATCGTAAAGGGTGCCAGTCGTGTCAGGCATAATTTGTTTGATGGTGTTCTTCAACGCCTCTGGAGCATCATTTTTAGTTTTAAACAGGAGTCTCGCAATCCGAGCCAGATCTTTTGCTTGCGTACCAAGGGGTTGACACAAATCTCGAGAATGCCACATGAGCGCGCTCGCGCGCTTAATGAAGCGGCCGCGAAGTACAAATTGTAATACTAAAGAAACAAAATCGCATAGGTGATACTACAACTACCGGTTGCACGGTAGTAAAGCTACATAAGCGTACAAGGTAAGTAGCAGCCGTTACAAGGCGGATTCAGGCAGCCCTCTTTGGTTATCGCTTCACTGGGTCGGCAGGGTGTTCACATCGACTGTCGGCTGTTGGCCAGTAGCCGGGCGGTTGAAGTTCTGGTCGAGTGTCACATAGTCGGGGAAGAATGCGCCGTTGCGAAGGTAGAAGCGTCCGTTCTCCAGGCCACCCGCATAATCCTTGCGCTGCGCGTTGGTCGCGGTGGCATCACCGGTGAAGCGACCGGCGGTGGCCTCGGACCAAGTGCCGTTCACGTTGCGCGCCCACTGGTTACCGTATTGCACACGGCGACCAGTATAGCCTCTGGTATCGAGGAAATTCTCCAGGAAGGAGTGGACACCGGACTGATACGTGTTGGTGGAAGGACGCTTCCAGGTGGCGAGGTAGCGCCAGGAGTTCAACTCGGGTGCGAAGAACCACGCCGAGTAGAGAGTGCTGCCCGAACCATCAGGCCGAATGCGCGTGATGAACTTGTAGGTGTTGCCAGCCACCCAGTTGAACACGAGGTACGCCTGGCCTCCGGTGCCCTCGTGGTCAAAGGAGTTGTCAACAACTCCCGCGCCCTTGCTCACGAGCGTGGTCTTCTGGCCGTCCTCTGCGTCCCAGACAGAGAAGAGGACCCAGCGGTCGTTTTCTCTGACCTGGATGCCGGAGTAGCCAGCGGAAAAGCCCGCGGCCATGAAGTACGAGCCGACGACATCCTGACTCGTGGGAACGGTCACCTCGTTGTAGAAGTATTCGCTGTTGGCCGGCACGGTGTAATTCATGTGAACTGACGGGCCGCGGCGTGACCAGTAGTAATTCGCCGGGTCATTGGCGTAGTCCAGCGCAGAGGTCGTGGTCACGCTCAAGCCCGACACGTCCCCGAAGTAGCCACCGTCCTTGGTCATGCCCTGCATGTCCACCTTGACATAGCCGGGAGCAGCCACATTGACGGTGCCGACAGGATAGCTTTTGGGGGTCGTGCCGGCGAGCTGGACGGTGAATGCGGTCCCGTTGATGATGACTCTGACAGAGCTCTGGTTACTGCCGGCTAGGTAGGCGTTCAGCCCGACCGTCACCTGACCGGCGGAGGCCATGCGGAAATACGCGCTGGCGATGGTGTTCGCGTTGCTCCAGTTGGCCAGCCCGTTGTTGTTGATGACCTCGCCAGCCCCCGCAGGCGCCGTCGTGATGAAGGCATTGCCCGCCAACGCGACAGTCTTTGCGGACATGGTGGTAGTCGAGGAGTGGATGCTCGGATGATCAGTCGACAATGAACTGGCTGGTACATTTATAACAGACACCGGAGGCAAACCCCGTGGCAGCCAACTTTAGGATGCCTAAATGGAAGGTGAGCGGCAGCTGGCCTGGAAGCTTCCACGAAGCTTCTGCGGAGTTGCACGGCGGTTTGATGTTTAATAAAATGCAATTCAGCAGAGAGAGCTATCGCCTCGGAGCGGAAGCCTCTTCCACAACCGATCAACTCTGGATAGGCGACTTCCGGATTAAGGTAGTCTCCAAATGCCCTCCTTGCCATTCTCCTGTCTTCTCTCATTTCACCCCCTTGAGGTTCTTTTTGTTGAATGCGTACTTACAAACGAGCATCAAACTAGCATCGCGGAGTTTACGAGGCGACTGCAGGCACCGTAGACACATCACCCAGATCTTCGCGATGCCACAGTCGCGAGGCGTGCCAGCAACATCCTCCCCTTCACCTTGGCGTTTGCAACTTGCCGCGGTATATTTCCACCTCGATCGTGTTATTTACAGACCAAATCTGAATTCGGGGGACGCAACTTCCGGCGCTATGACGCACCTGCCAGTTAATCTTTGGCACTCGGAAGGGAAGGGATTGCTAGTGGCTGGCAGCGAGCGTGTTCCCCACTGAAGCAGAGCTTCTCCGGCAGAAACCAAGCACCGGATATATATTTATGCTACTCAATGATGTCCCACCTTGGTCCCGCCGTCCACATTTCACCGGAACCTTACGAAAATGTTCTACCAGCAAGATACGCCTACTATAGTTATCGGCGAGCATTTCGCCAATTCAGGTTCAATTCAACGGCAACCTGGGGCCACCTAATTTTGGATGAACAGCGCGGATGATTCTATTATTGAGAAACCCTCCGCATTAGGGAATATTACCCAGTGTTCACCCGAGGCCCGAGGCCCTAAAAATTCCAAGGGCCCTACGCTAGGCCCTAAAATTGT